CCCGCCGAGGCAGCTCCTGAGGACGCGGGCCCCTGCACACCATGGCCCCCGGGCGGACAGGGGCCGGCGCCGCCGTGCGCTCTCGCCTGGCGCTGGCCTTGACGCTAGCGAGCGTCCTGAGCGGGCCCCCAGCCGCCGCCTGCCCCACCAAGTGTACCTGCTCCGCCGCCAGCGTGGACTGCCACGGGCTGGGCCTCCGAGCCGTTCCCCGGGGCATCCCCCGCAACGCCGAGCGCCTGTGAGTACCCCGGCCCGCCCCACGGGGCCACCCACCTGGGTCGCACAGAGGGACCCTTGGACCCCAGACCCTCCCTCTCCCCACCCACCATGGCGCTGGATGCGACCTCTGTTCTCACTCCTCCCCAGTCGGACCCCTCGTTCTCTAAGTTGGGGGTTGCTTTGGGCAGGTGTGGAGAGAGACATCTCCAAGCCCCCGTAATGGGCCAAGAGCAGTGCCTTTGGGGGCGCGGACGCTAGACGCAGGGCCCTCTGACAGCTTCCCGGGAGAAGCTGGCTGTGCGCGAGGGGAGGAAGCCCCAACCCTGGAGGTCTTGGGGTGGGTGTGAGAGGTCTGCGCTATGGGGGCGGGGGGGCTAGAAGGTGAGGGTGACAGGCGTCCGGTGTGTGTCAGGGAGATGAGAGAGAGGGCCGGTCCTAAGGTTTGACCTCCTTGGAGATCAAAATGGGCCGGCTGCTCTGGCTGCCCTTGGAAGGAAAGTTGAAAGTGTGTACGAAGGTCTAACTTCTGAGACGAACCGGTCGAATTTGGAGTGGGTGCTTGCAAAACCCGGCCCGCCTGGAGCGCAGCCTCGGTGATGCCAAGTTGCAGCCCGGGTGAATTTTTTATGGCTCGGTTATAAATGCCTCCCCAAACGGGCTGGAGAATGGAAATGCTGACAGCCATTTAAATGCGACCTAGCGCTATAATCTTACAAACCGCACTCAGCCTCCAATCCTGGGCTTGGCAGAGTGGAGAGGCTCTGGGAGAGCGGGGTGGATTGACCCTCATTTTAACCCCAATTGTGCAACCAAATATTTACTTTTCATATGTCGACGTTTTGGAAACATTTATCATTTTGATCCTCAGACCAAATTCAAAACTTGGACTCTGGGGTGGGCTCCTTGTAGCCCACGGTTGGGGGCAGGGTGAGGAGGGAGGGAGAACTGGTGGAAGCAGTGGGAGCCCTCCTGGAGCCCAGGGCAGGAGTGAGGGAGGATTTGCAAGTCCTGGTCCCTCTCTTCCCCTCCCCACGCATGTGGGTGTGGGTTACTTGGATCTCCCCTTCTGCCTTTTGACTTCAGGCTGGAAGAGAGTGGTGGTGAGAGGAAGGGCCCCTAGAGTGCTGGTTCTTATTAGTCACCTCCCAGGCACCTCACCTCCTCTTCTACTTACTTTTTGTGTCTTCCTGAGCAGCAACTCAGTAGAAATCCCTACCGTACTCCTGGTGCTTTCTTTTGGCTCAAAAAAAAAATTTTTTTTTTAAGTTTTCAAGTGCAGTGATTGCTCTTTGGGGTTGAGCCACACTATCAGAGGTCAGAGCTCAATCTTCACTGACACATACAGAGTATCAGGCTGGGAAATGACTTGCCCAAGGAAACACTGGTGATAAAAGAGCCAGTATCAGATTTCCACGCCTTAATCCAGACATTATATTAGACCATTTCAGTAAAAAGCCCCTTTTAGTGGTATTTTTAGAAACATATAAACTAAGTGCCCCTTCTCTTTACACCAGTGCTGGCTGCATCAGTTAGTAAAATAATAACATAGCTAATGTTTAATGAATGCTTCTCCTGCCTTGATCTGTGTCTATGTGTTATCTCCTTAAATTTCTACACAGTCCTATTAGTTACGTGGATAAGTGCTTATTACTCCATGTTACGGTCAAGCCACCTTGTCGTGTATTCAAGGTCATGAAGCTAGTTAAGTGTTTGAATCCAAGCCTGCCTGACTCCTAAGCCCACACCCCTTACCGCTCTGCTGACTCTTTAGAACCAGGGCCAGTTTGGGCCACAATCTATAAACAGACCATTCTGGGAGGGTTCATGTTGGGCTTGGGTCTTAGCAGAGGCTGCTGTCCCCACTGCTTTGGGTGTTCCCTGCAAACATTCAGCTTGCTTTGACATGGGCTTTGTGGCTTGGGTCTTGAGACTGCTCTTTGCCCATCTTGAAATGAAGACACATTTTTGGGAAACCCAGGAGAATGGGCTGCTCTACTCCTGGAGACTTTGTGTTTCCAAAAGCTGAAGGCAAAGCACTATATCTAGCATGCCAGCTGGCCACCCTACTGAAAGACCCTGGCAGTTCAGGGCAGACCGTCTACTCCACAGCTGGGGAAGTTAGGTGGAGAATGGACTTCTGGACATTCCCAAGGGCCACCTGCTGCATGCATGGTCACTGACAAGGATCAGTAGAGTAGGAGCTGCTTGGAAATATGTGTGTCCCGCCTGGCTCCATTCTGGTCACTGGTGACAGTGGCTAAGGTACATGGGGGTCATGGGGCTGCCAAGGATGGCTCCTCCCCTAGTCTTCTCCTTTCTTCCTGGGAGTGGGAGGCAGCCTTTAGGAGTCAGATGGGCCAGGTTCAGCACAGGGTTTAAGGGCATCTCAACAACAGTCTATCACTATCCCTTGCCCCCTCTGTGTACTCAGAAGAAACATTTCAGTTCTGCATACTCTTGATGGATATTTCGCCTTACTACACTATGCTGAGGGTTTCTTCAGGGAGGCATGGCTCATTCATTCCTCCCTTCATTCTTTCAACAAATACTACTTGGGCTCTACTCCTTTCCGGTAACTGCATGTAAAATCACTGCATGTACAGAGGAAAAACAACACTTCAGCTGAAAGCAGGTAATCAAAGAGGGAAGAAGGAAACTTCCTATGATGAGCTTTTAAATTTCCTAGGGATCATTTTGACATAGGACATCAATCTATCAGCGTAGTTATCGGATCCCCAGGACCGTCTAAGAATCCAGTGTTTTAAACTCAGATGTAGAAATTATGTTTTAAAACAAAGAAGAGGCATTTTCCCCATTCTATCTTCCTGCTGCTCTGCCTACAAAAGAGCCTTTTATGAAGGAATATGTGTATTTGCTGGGTGCGTGCCTGTCTGTGTGTGCGGTGGTTTCCCTAGGTGTTTCTGACCTCAGAAACCTCATGATATGACATGAAGGACAGTTTGAGTGGGGATAATGTGGTCCTCATTTGGATGTAGCTGCAGGCCTGGAATGTGGTATCAGTGTTGGGGGTCTGCGTTCCACGTTGTTCCCTACAGTGTCAGCATATCACCCAGAAAAAGAAGCCTTTTGTAAACTACTGACAACTTTTTTCCTCCTCAATGAGGACGTGACACCCACAAGAAAGCTAAATAAACGGAGAGGAGAATTCAGTGTCATTTGTTATCCATGCAGCAGAGATAGAGGCTCAGAGAGGAGAGGAAGCGAATGTTGGTGCCTAAAACAAAACATTTACCATGGAGCACAGAGTAAACAGATGTTGCCTTTACCCTTCTGAGTACAAAAGGAACCCACAGATGTAATTCTTTTCCAACCACAATCTCAGCCTGGAAAAAGAGACGGAAGATGAAAATGAACTCTCATGTGGGGCGTCTTCTCCCCCGCGGTGCCCGGAGGCAGAGAGAGGCCCGCCTCTCACCCGCGGCGAGGTGGTGGCCTGCACAGTGGAGCGGGGGCAAGAGTGGACATCTTTGGTTTTTCACTTGGCTCCAGAGCATACTGGAGACTGCTGTATTTAAATAAACATTTCCTGTTTGTGAAGGAAAGCGGGCGAGAGGCTGAAACGTGAGAATGTGGTAACTTAATTTTCTCCATCACTCCAGATGACGGCAAGCTTTGCCGGTGGTTGGGTCCAATAAAAACGACACCGTGTCATAGGCTTTCCCTCACTTGACCACAGAGGTCCCAAGGTCAAGTGGGAGACTTTCCAAGATTCTCAATAGCCGGGCTCTGCGTTCTGACACTCCCAGCCCTCAGGGCCAGCTCAGAGGACCAGGGGCAAGCTGATCAATTGGGAGACCTCTCTAGGCCAACCATGGTGAGGTGGCCCTTCAGGGAAGACAGTGCTTTTTTTGGATTGCCTAAGGAGCAGTAGAATGTACCTGCCTTCAGGGCGCTGTGAAACTCTGAACAGACTGCTGTACCTCTCTGAGCTTCATTTTCCTGAAACTTGAATCCCAGCATCATCTTAGTGGTTTTCCATGTATAATCTAGAGCCCACTGGTGAACTGTCAGAACCCTCTTTCTCAGTGTCCAAAACAGCATCTCACACTTAGTATGTTTTCAACAAATATATGTTCAGTAAAAGACTAATAAGCCTCAAAAGTACAAATATTTCTTTCATTTTTACAAGGGAAAGTTGGGCAATTACAGATTTGCATTTTGATGGATGGCTAAGGGCTACTTACCGATAATCTATTACATGAGATATTAAGGTTATCTAAAATGTTGGATTTCCATGAACTAAAATTATTTCCTTACTAGACTTACCCAAGACTCCTACGGAGTGATCCACTCTGCAGTCTGGTTGCCAGGTGTTGCTTAGCAACCTTACAAAACTCCTACTGTGCACATGCTCATGAAAAGAGCTAGCAATCCTGAACACTTAAACCGTAGGACTTTCTAATCAGAAACTCATCAGCATCATCCTGAGCTCTCTGTGGTTTTTGATTGCTTCTCTTCTTGTATTAATTGATAGGTATTTGTAGGATCATTATTGAGTTTTGCTTTTGCCAATCATCTGGGATTTTTATTATTTCTGCTTTTTCTTTGCCACTTCTACTGTTACTTTGTTACTCTCCAGCTCTCTCTGTTTATCATAACGAGTTCTTCCTTCAACCCCAAAAAGTGAAAATAAAGGGTCTGTGGAATGGTTTTCCTTGACTCTATGGATGAGAATCACAGGGATCGAGAGTTCTGCGCATTTGGATCTTGGCAAGGGTTAAAGAGACAGACAGCTTTGGGTTTGAATTCACCTCTGTTACATCCTTGCTGTTCCACCCTGGGTGCATTACTCCATTTCTCCAGAATGCAGAGTCTTTCATCGCTCGGTACCTATTTCCACACCTGTAATGTAGGGATGAGAATTTCACGGGGGTGTTATCAGTGTAGCCTGAGGCAGTCAGTGTAATGTGCTCTGCAGGGCACCCACAGCGTTGTTCACTCATTATCATTGCTGTGACTGTTTACCCAACTACAATTTATCCAACTGTAAAGTATGTA